ATGAAATGTATCGGAAAATTTAAAAATTCGTAGAGAACAAATAAATTGAAGTAATGGGAACAATAATATTATTAAAGTGAATCAGAAAGCATGAARGATGAAAGGATGAAACTATGAATCGACAAACTTTTTAACATACACCACAAAGGGCAGAGGCACAGACATAGACTCTGTGCAAAGACTTGGAAATTCGAATGTCTGTAAACTTCACTTTTGATAAGAACATGTCTTCTTATCATTGTTCGTTCGGGTTCGGCCAAGGTTAATACAATTAATTGTTATATTCTGTGGTTAATATAAATAGATTTATTCTATTAGATCTATTTATATTAATCTTGGGGTTTGGCAAACAGTATATTATACTGTATTATCTTTAATAATAATTTATTAATTATTATTCAAAACAATGGTGGATGGAGTATTGGAGTGGCCGAGCGGCGAGCGGACTACGGAGTCCGTTCCGACACAGAGTATATGAAATATTTCATTCAATATATTATATTATTATGTTTATCATTATAATTTTCAATATATTTCATATATTCTGTGGTTCCGACGAGCACCATCGCTGGATCGAATCCTGGCCATGGGCGGCATTTCTCTCTGGGCAGGCAACTGTTTGCGACACCCATTCCCCACAACCGAGCATGGTAGAAACCCCACGGGTCGTGCCTTGTGCCCAATTAATAAAAGAAAACCATATACATGTATGTTTATACATATCAATTTATACCTAATCTAAAATAAATAGGAACAATTTCTCATTGAATGTTTGGTTRCGTGGTAAAAACAATTCTTAATATCTCGTGGAAATCTTTCTTTGATAGTTATGGATGGCATATTGTTAAAAAAAAAATCAWTATATCCTTTGATAATTCTTCAGTCAAGCAATTTTTTTTTGGGTGCGTCAAATTTGTCTGAAACATTAAATTATACTTTCATAATAAGGCATAGTTTTTATTTATTTGCATCAATTTTTTTTTTTAATCATTGAGTTAGTTTATTAAGTACCTATCATTTGAGGAAAATTATTATTATTTCTAAAAATCAGAATTTGATCAAATGTATTATATGAAAAGAATATAACGGGAGTGAGAATTTTCAAAAAATCGCTATGTATAGTCATAAGTATTCATCATGATACTAAAATAGGTAGTCTTTTTTTTTATAACAGACATTTTCAATGTTTGTCTATACATATTCAAAAATAAAGTTATTTACTAAAGTATGAGATAGACTAATACTAATCAATGGTATGATGAAAGTCAATAGTATGGCAYCTTGAAGATCATTATAAATCATAATAAGGTTAAATATAAAATATACATCAGTACTTTTTAAAACTTATGGTAGTATAAAAGTTGTCAATTCAGGAACAAAAATAAAAACATCGGTTTTTTTTTGAGATTGAGTATTTCATAATTCTTCTAAGACAAAATATGTATTATTATATTACACATACGTAATTTGTTTAACATATTATTTATAAGTATSGGCAACATAATATTTTTACACAGGTATATAAATTTAATAGAGATAAAATAGTATGTACAATTCATTTTATTCAATAAAAGTATAACAAATATAATAGAATATCTAACACCAGAAACAAAT